AATTAGAAATGATTGGTGGGCGGTGCCAGTGATAGGGGGTTGGGCCAATGAGAGGCACGACGGTATCGTGGGCGTCCTCACTCGTTTTCGAGACGTAAAAGTGGTCTGATCGCTGCCTCTGTGAACCTGGCTACCTGCTCACGACGGGAGAGTTAAATCCCAACTGAACGCGGACACTGCCTTTAATCAGGCGCATACAAGCTGATGTTGGAATGGGGTTCTATCTAAGGTGATTGACATTTTTTTTTCTGCTTTTTCCTTCACCAATTATGCAGGACCCTGCCGTCTATATGCAAACCCTAATCATGTGATGACGACTGATCACGAGCGTCGCCTCAAAGGATTGCCACCATGACTCCAAAATTGACCCTGTGGTGATTATTTACCTACAGCTATCTGGCGCGTGGCTTAACTTCCCCATCATCTTGGTTCGCCCCTTTACTCGTCTCAACACGCTGGGTCGGAGGTCTTGCAGATTACACCAGTGACCACAGAGTCTCCTCAGCTGCCGTTCCAACGGGCTGCGCACTCTGGGTTTTGACTCGTGCAGCCATAGAAATGGTTGCGAATTAACAGTGTTTAGAATTGCTCAAAAGAATCCGCCCAATGCTTGAAAACTCCTCGAAGGCTGCCCCCCGCTCCCCCTCCCCCCCCCATAATTCCTCAAAAAAGCTGATGATGGAGGGTACTATGACTATGAGGATTCATGCTACTACGGAATTACCACTTAATCTGTTGGTTACACTTGTTCTGGTTCTATGGATAGGTGGGAAGGCTGCAGTCATCAAGCTGAGCAAATCAAGCTAACCGATTTATCGGTTCATAGGTATTTATTCCAGATTCATAAGTACCTTCCCTACCCCCCCCCCCCCTCCTTTCGACACTGTTCAACTTCCTCCCAGCAACTTGAAATTCGAAGGTCACGGGTATCAATAACGATAGGGGTTGCTTCAGGGTTAATATTCATACCATCGACTGTCACGGAAGATATCCTTAGTATGAAATTTGAAGTCCAAGACTCTTGAGGCAATTTGACTTTAGGTCGAGGATCTAATTGAACTGGGGAGGGAGCATCAATCATTAAATTCAGGGCTTATTCTTCGGGCAATAGTAAGAGCTCGGAAATGTGCACGTCAGCATTTAGTCGGATAGGTCTCGACTTCCATACACTCATGCTCCAGAGAAGCTCACGGAAACTTCAGTTAGCCAGCAAATTTCGCTGTCAACCTCACGTGCAGTCAGAGAAGCAGTAATAGCAAACAAAGAAGCAGTAATAGTACCAACGCACAAATAGAGTTGTTCAGCTTTCACTGAAGCTCAATCAAAAGTACAGAGCTTTCGAGGATCGAATGTGGTGATTTTTGATGCTTCGTAATTGCGGATCTCAACTGGTTGCATCAGCTGAGATCAGATCCTCGGTTTGAAAACCTACGCTTCGCGCGACCATTCTATACGGGTACAGGGCACAATATCGCTGATAATTTGCCGATTAGAAGGTCGTGTTTCCAGAATTGGCGATGGGGATGGGGGTGTCGTGAATGGAGAATCAGCTCAACGCAAAGCTGTCATTATCGTCAGGCAGTGGGTAGCGGTAGCAGATGAAAAAATGTGCGCAACTGGGAAGGTTAAACAGGTCTGTAGCTATGATTTTTCCACCTTGAGAGCATCTGCTGCGTGTAAGGAATAAGTCGAAGTTCTACCTTCCACCGTCTGTGCATGGGAGCCAAGCTCAGGGTTAAACTGATGGGCCTTGAGCGAACCGTCTTCCTGCTCAGAAATGCGAGAAGATACGGGATTTCAGGGCGGTTTAGAATTTTCCTCAATAGAACCATGGACTTCGTGAAAAGGGCAGTATTATTCGAGGGCACGCTTTTCTTTTCTTTCCTGATCCTACAATAATCTTACGATGGAATCGCGTGTTCATTCAAAGCGCGGAAAATTGACTGGAACTTAAGAGCTTAGCCATCCAATTCAGTCAGAAGGATGATACAGTGAGTTTAAGCAGCTGATACTTTCCGCGAAATGGTGTAGCAAATGATCACGCTCGGGAATTAGGGGTGCGTAATCTTGTCACATTCCTCACGTATTTCTTTTGGGGCTAACAAATGAAACCTAAGCGTGAAGTGCCACAGATCTCAGCCACAATTGTGCTTTCCGAAGTAACGTATAGAATTTCCCACCTGCTGTGCTGTGAACCGTGCTTCAGGGTCCACAACCAGCAAACGGCGAATCAACACCATCGCCTCGATAGATAGCTCCGATGGGAGCATATAGTGGCCCTGAAACATGAGATGGATAACGCTCTAACTTCTAACTTTTGGCAGATGTGTGGAAACTGATAGGGTCGTTAATCCTGTAAAAGTAGCACCAGAAAAGTGCATAAGCTATGAGTAAGTCATCATAGTGCAGAATGAAGTCCATGAGCATCGCCAGCCAAACAACTGTCATTGCCTTAAAGACACATGGTACGCTCAAACACATTGAGGGTGTATGAGACTAACAGCCCCCCAGCTGTCGATGTGTCGTGGTTTCCCCGCCCGAAACTGCACGGGGGTCCGAGTACGGGACCGTGGGAAAGGCTTATTCCTTGCTACACCGCCCAAACCGCGCGCAAGTTGCATTTCGCCGCGCGCAAGTTGCATTTTGGGCGGTGTAGCAAGGAATAAGCCTTTCCCACGGTCCCGTACTCGGACCCCCGTGCAGTTTCAGGCGGGGAAACCACGACACATCGACAGCTGGGGGGCTGATAGTCTCATACACCCTCAATGTGTTTGAGCGTACCATGTGTCTTTAAGGCAGGTGCGTACTTAACTACTGCAATAATAGATTCTCTGCAGAAACTTTCGTTGAAAGTTCCTTTCTGGGTGTAATTCAGTGCCCTTACAACGAATGTGACCGTTGATGTTACACCCTGACCATGAGTGTGACATTCATCTCAAAGCTGACTCCATGTGCACCGTGGATTGTTAAATGGAAGTGGGCACTTAGTGAAAATCATTCAGTAAACTATATTTTCCGTCGAGGGGACGTATCTCCCCATGACCCTTCGCTCTTGGCCAATCTACACATAGGTTTGTTCTCTTTGCCTCTAGTCTCCCTGGCCTCTCCTCCCCCTCTATCCCGCAACGATCGTGACAGTAAAGTTTTTCAGGGACAGTATCCCTGAAGAGCATCGTACGTTCCGCGGAACCTTGATCATGAATTTACAAAGTTAAATTAAGTTAAATTAGTTACGAAGAATTTCTGTCCCAATTCTGACAAACATGAGCAAGAAATTTATGATCACTGCACAGTCTAGTACGATAGGCACGGAGTGAAATTCTAAGAGAAACGTTCTAGGAACAATTATAATACTACGGAGATTTTGCAGTTGTAGGATTGGAATACTCTGGAAAAGCAGGAATGGAAGAGGATCCGAAAAAGAATGCCAGACGAATCTTTTTGACCGAGGAACGAAATGAGTGGGAGTGATGAATGACCAGTTGGATTCAAATTAACGCCACTCACGGATGCGACCGACTCCACAAACGTTGTCGCATCGACGAGTTCGAATGGGAGTCTCCCCACTAGGAGCTCATACATATCACTCCTAGGGACCACATGTCGACCTAAGAATATTTAGAGGTATTCAGATTCTAAGGAACATGAATGGAGATTGTTTTACCTCGATATCGTACGGGCGTCTTAATATTATTTCCGGCGCCATATAGACCAAAGTGCCACAATACATAGAGAGCTTCCTATAATCTGAGAAGATTACAGAGTTCGGTGGGCATGCCAGTGTGACCATGTTTCGCGGGCGACCGAGTCTCATAAACTATTTGCTGTTCAAATAGGACGCTTTTCGAATCGAAATATCATTTCTGCAAAATACTGTGAATGATATCAGTTTCGTTTTGTTGAACGACATCAGACGGTGTGGTTGTTTGCAAGTGGAACGTTGCTAGGAAACGCTTGTGAGCCAAGGAGATGAGGTTCTTTGCATAGCCTTGCAGTCAAGTAACCCCAGGGTGGCCGGTCGAATCCATTGTGCAGGAATGGTTTTTGTGAAAAGGTCTGGTTCACCTGAGCAGTTTTCAGGTGAGGTGGCTTTCTCAATCTGGAGAGCCTGTCCATCTGATTGAGAATTATTCTTTGCATTGTAGTCCACACTTGCGGATCAGTATTCCTCTTTTTCCACCGTCGCACCCCAGTTATTTTGTTGATTTTCAGCACTTCATGTGAAACATACTGCTCTGTATCGAGCACTTAGTGCAAGAATGGTATCGATGCAGGACAAATACCTTTATTGTTGATTACTTTGGCACAACAGGAAGTCAACAATCAATCACGCCGTTTCGCTCATTTCTATACTGCTAATGACGCAGCTGTCCTGGACCATTATGAAAAAGCACTCCCACCCCCTCGATTGACGAGTGCGAGGTGTGGGAATCATCTATATGCTTCGAAAAGTGTCCAATTTGATTTCAAAACGATCCGATGTGATTCAGAAAGAGCTTATTCAAAGCCGAAGCACAAATCACGTGATGTGATGCACAGCAGCGTGGCAAAGATTTTGCAGAGCGTGCATAGTAAATGCTTGTTACCGTACATGGTCTAGAATATCCGGTAGGTAAGGGGCACCCTTTTTTCTTTTTCCTGTCTTCGAACTTCAATCATAAAAATAATAAAAAAGTATCGGCAAAAATGTTCTACGACTATCACCATAAGCGTTGCTGACCATTCCTTATCCCACCAGAATTTGAATGGCCCCCTTCCGAAACTCCACGGTCCGCGAGTCCAAGTTTTCCGACAGTCTGGACATCACGTCAATTACATTTTGGGAGATAGCTCATGCTCAGTGACAAGCGGTCGAGAAGTATGTGATATAGGACAAGCTGTACTGGGAGAGCTCGGTGAATAAAGATAAGACGTTCTCCTAAAGGCTCCTCCACCCATTTTCTAATCTTTTTGTCTTTGCAAGGACCTAATAATCTGGCGTACACAGAAGTAATAATAGCATTCTTTCATATTGCCAGTTCTGACTGCTATTATTACTTCTGTGTACGCCAGATTATTAGGTGGAACTCCTGTATGAGATCAGAAAAGCTGGAAACTAGTGGGAAATTTTATCTGCGACCATTTGCTTTCATCCAGCAACTCTTAGCTCAATATAGCAAGAACCCGCTCTGCAACAGAGGCACGACTCTCCAGGCGATTCTTTTGGACGCGAAGTGTTAGTACCTTGTAATCTGATAGAACGAACTACTGTCCACAGCGTCTGAGTTTTCGAGCTAATTTTCGAACTCTTTGAAGTCACTCTGCGATTTCAGATCTAGCATGGCTCTTCAGGACATGATATAAAAGTGAAAAAGTAGAACGCTTCTCTAACAGCTTTTTTCGATGAATGCATTCGCGCGTCTGTGAGCATCATCCTCGAGCCTTTGTCCTCATCAGCGAAGTCCGCCAACTTACCATGGAACATCGAATAGGAGACCTGGGTAGATCGATAGAGTCTATAAGGTTATTTACAAATATAGATAGCAAAACTGCAACCTGCATTTCACAAGCAACTTATGAGCAGGTAAAGTTTGTAATGGTGCAGTAGGGTGGAGGCTTGGTGGTGAGCTGTGAAGCATAAGCGAGGAATCGCATACGTCGAATCGAGTCGTCGAACGTCGAACCTTACCACTGAACCACCAAGTGAACGTATGCGATCCTTCACTTACGCTTCACAGCTCACCACCAAGCCTTCACCCTACGCACCATTACAAACTTTACCTGCTCATAAGTTGCTTGTGAAATGCAGGTTGCAGTTTTGCCATCTGTATTTGTAACCTCATAGACTCTATTGATCTACTCACTTCTCCATTCAAAAATCCATGGTAAGTTGGCAGACTTCTTGGTGGGTGCTTGTGGGGCATGCCACGCTATAATGCTTCACAACGCAGTTTGTTTGCTGATGTGCCAGCAATCTCGTAAACTTCAGCCGCATATTTAGTCTTCTTTAAAAATTACTTGCACTGTGACTAAAGGAGAAAAACGTACGTGCCGGGAAAGACGACGTCGCTGATGCCGAAGTCAGGCTAGCTTCACAACTCCATTGCCTGTGACCAGGATGTTCTCCGGCTTCACATCCCGGTGGACAAATTCTCTTGCTGTGGCAATACTCGAGGGCGCTCGCCGTCTGCTGTATTATCTGAAAAATAGTGCTTAAGACGCTCGAGTCGAGAGCGAAGAGATGACTCCATCAATCAAATCAAATTCGTACCACAGACGCCGACAGCTCGTCGAAGCGCCCTCTTCTTGCGGAGCTGCTTCTGCAGTGATCCACCCTGAGTAAGTAACTATGCACTTGAGTAGTAGGGTCGGAGGGAGTTGAGCAAAGATCTTAAACACTCACCGAAGCGTACTCGAGCACTAGAATCACGGCGTCGTCTCGCTCGAAGTTGCCGAGTAGCCCGAGTACGTTCGGGTGTCTGAAATAGAATGTGATCTAGTGGGATCTAGTGCTCTAATGCCGGAGACAACTGTACTGATTGACTCTCTTCGGATTCAGTATGGTTCAGAAGGACTGCCCCACTAAAAGTGAAGGGGTCAGGCAGTAAGATTTCAACTGCGTCAATGGCTTTTTTCTTCACTCACAACCATCATATTACCTATCCACGCCTAAAAAGGATCAGGGCTCACAGGGACACAAGTGGTCAAGTGGCAGGTACCCCTCCCGGGTCTGCGCGGTCATCACGAATGCAAGAGCAATAATAGAGGAGCACATCTTCCTGAGGTACCACGATTAGGGCAGCTTCAATTTGATCCTCCCAAACGGGCTGTTAGAATCTCAGGGCCTACGAAGGAGAAAGCTGTTGGGGGCTTGGATGACGAGCAGAGCCACTTTCATCCGATCTTCACATTGATGATCTGATGGTGCAAGCCAGATATGCAGGCCAGTTATGACCGCTTCGGATTGATCGAGACAAAGAAAGCTGCTTATCACACGTCGCCAACGAAACTGCAGAAGAAGTGTTCCCCAGAACATGCGAAAACATATGCCTTGGCGATGTGGGCTCCCACTAACACGCACTTTGCCATGAACATTGATTTGCACGAAAACAGCGGTTTGAAAAACACGGTCAAAGACTGACTGCCTCAATTCCCACTCCCACAACCTGCGAAGACAACGTATCAACAAGCTCGACGAGGTAGACGTATTCAAGACGGAATTGCAAAAGTTCCTAGAAAAGGCATTATCTTTTCTAGGTCGTCATCGAAGACTTGAACGCCGAGCCGGTCCAGAAGAAAGTCTAAACAAATTCACATGTGTGGAATGAAGGGCGAAAAGCCGTCCGGGTTATCGTTTTGGCTAACACTATGCATGCTGATTCACGGACTGAATCCTTGCTCCCTATTCTGGATATAGGAGTTTTCTGGTGGGCAGTGGGTAACGACTACGTCGTCTTCAATCCTGAAGATTGACTCAGCGACTGCGACGTTCTCCTTTTTCTACCGCGATCGGACTTCCTTCCTTTGCTTGAGATTCCGTTTTGATGAGAGAAAAGAACGCTTTAGAGAAGCAAAGATCCAAGGCTGTCAGTGAATGAACCACTTCACTTCTTCCTTCATCACACCCTTCGTCTATATCTTCATTTTCTTCTTCTTCTTCATTTTCTTCTTCTTCTTTTTCGTCTTCCTCTTCACTGGCTTTTGAAAGATGTCGCTATCAAAAACGGAAAGTAATATAAATGACCTGTTCAGCTCATTCACAACTTCTCTGAGAAAAGTAAGGGGAGACCACCAAGGTCACCAAGCTGCACCTATTTTTGACACAGCCGAGTTGATTTGCTGAATATTCGCAGAGCCAGCGGCAGCTACATACTCATTGGCGTAGAACTTGCAAAACTATACACTGAAGGAGGGCCTCAACGAGAACGGAAACGGAACTCGCAAGATTAGAGCATTTAAAGATAAGCTAGCGAGGGCCCTCAGTAATAGGGTGGTAAGTGCAATACCTTAGCTCCGCATGGATCATGACTCCATTTCGAGCATTGCCAACTTGTCGTCGTCCTCGGGCTTCTTGCACACCTGGAAGATAATGAAGATAAAGTGTAGCTCCTCTGAGTTAATTCCGAGAAGAAATGTCGCTCATCCCTGCTGGCTCTCGTCCAGTTCAAGATTATATTGTCCTTGGTGCTTACCTTGATAGGCGACAGGCTCTCCTGTGCGCCTGTCTATTGCTCGGAAGACGGTGCTCATTGCACCGTTTCCGAGCACGCGCATTGAGTTCGAAGTCCGAGGGCGACCTGCAGTACAGCGCAATAATAAACGTAGGGGTGTTGCATCAATAAATCAAAGAAGAACATCAACAAACGCACGCTTGTCCTGCGGCAGTTATCAGACTGGAGCTGGCGCTGCTCATAATGGCCCACCCTCCTCTTCCCACAGTGCTGACAGTGCTCTAGAAGCAGCTTGTATAAATGGCAAAAAACGCTACAATTCCTGCTTAGGTCGCTAAATCTTTCAAGAATGGACGTAGAATCAAATTGTCAAATGCATCATACATTTGTAATCAATAATCTTTTCTATTATTCGTGTTCAGTGCTTTAGAAAACAGCACATGTAACGGGATAATTTCACTTCACTTAGTGCCCCACGGAAAATTTGGATTTTGGTGCATCTTTCTTTTTTTCAATTTAGAACTATTGAGGCAGGGTGCGTAGCCTAATTATAGTGTGGACCGAAATCGCTGTCACTCAGGCACTCAGTTCATGAGCAGTTCCCGTGCTCAAGCAAGCGGTGAGCGTCCTTTCTTGAACAGCTAGTCTGGTCTTCAATCTATAGTCACCGTCCACCTTCTTGGTTCACGTTAGGCAACGGAGGCGTCGTGGCACTAATAAGTGGCAGTTCTGACGTCGACCCCCCCCCGGCAAAAACCAGGGGCCTATTTTATCATGACTTCACCGGGGTTTTCGTTGTGGGTTCTATTTTATCATGACTTCACCGCATTTTTTTTTGTATTATTTCACAGTTTAATGGTATTAGCATTGGATGAGTCTGGAAAGCGACTAGTGAGACAAAGGCGGCCTGATATCGCTTGTTGGCATAACAAGAGGATCAGGAGCTGGTCCTGAAAGGCTACAAAATGCTTTTCCAAGACTTTTATCCCTTCCCGCTTTCCTAGGCAGTCAATTAGTGATAAAAGATTTGTAATTGTACGCAACCATCCACAATATGCAAAGGCACAGTATGTCTTTGGACAGGACGTCAATCTAACGTTCAGTAGGGAGTTTCAAGTGTGGGTATATGACTCAATCTTAGTAAAATGCAGATTTGAAGGACGGTGCTACATGACTAAACTCACTGCGATGGCTGTTGATACACTGCTCGCCCTTGAAAGAATAGAGCACGTCAGCACAAATGATAATCCGCTCCAGAAGCCAGCTCCTGCTTGTGGGTCAATCTAAACATGTGTATTATACATACAGGTCATATCTGAACCAACAGCATCAAAGTGTTTCGCTGAAAGTATTACGTCCGGACATAAGTTTCTGAAACTTTCGAAAAGCAACTACAACTCATGATGATCCCGAACCTTGTTACAGGTGAGAGGAATAGCTCGCTCCCTCAGTAAAGTCTTACGATCCCCCACCAGGTCGATCCGGCCACTTGCAATGAGATGTATATAGATGCGCGTGCTTTCAGCCGCTGGACTATGAACTGTCTTCAAAAATGGCGGAACGATCCTCTGAAGGGAGTCAAGAACCATTTAACCCTCTGTTCTGTGCGAAGGATAACCAGCTGTGTCGAGCAACCGGCTTTTTTTTTGTGGCTGAGCGCATGGCTCCACAATGACGAGGCCACAGGATAAGACCCCTGATTTATGCAAGCTTTCGCTTTTTTTGAAACACTTTACATGAGTCCCAGAAACACTTCTATTTAGCTAAACCATCTGATTCTCCGATTACTTAACAGAACCACAAGAACTTCACTTTTTATGCAAGATGGATCGAATTTCTCCTGACAAAATTTCCTAAAAAGGAACCAGAAATGGGGATTGCCCTTACTGTTGCCGAATAATCGGCAATTTAGGTGAATTCGCTGAAAAGAAGTATGTTTGGGACTCAAGCCAATGTTTCAAAAAAAAGCAAAAGCTTGCATGAGTCAAGGATTCCATCATGTGACTTCGTTCATCTGGAGCAATGCAGTTGTCCCCTGAACCACCTACTGCAAAGACGGTCATCTTTCCGAACCTACGTGGAGAGAGAGCAGAGGATCAGT